AGCGGAGAGGGCGGTAGAGCTAGGTCCTGGCAGAGCCATTTCTCCTAGAACCGCCTTCACACCTACACCCTATTGCATTCCTAGTGCTGCATTTAGTTTGTGAGGTGAATAAATAGTGAGGCTGCATTGTTTGCTTGTGTCTGTCTTTTTATCAGAGACAAGCCGCACTGATGACGTCCCTCGAGCAGGGAGAAATAAGAGCAGCAGCAGGAGCACACAAATGCACGGTTTCTGCTGCTGCTGTCCAGAAGCTGCAGGATCTGCTGCTTCTCCCTGCTGCTGAGGCCGAGGCTGCTTTGCAGCAAGCTCAGGGAGACCATCTGAAGGCAACGCAATTGTTGCTGGAGCAGAAGCTCTAACCTCACTCCTTGCAAGTCAAGCGCATGGTCTGCGTCGCATGCATGGCATGCGTGTCGGTACATGTCAAACGGTTCTTCTTTTTACTTTCCTCGCATTTAACCTGTCGAGCCGATCTGCAGTGTATGTTTTCACACCCTCTTGTGCAACGAAACGACAGCGCTAAGTATGCCTATCTCTTAGAACTCTTGCCCCCCACTTACAGGGCTATAGTAGAGAGCTAGCTAGTTGTTTGTGCCAACTGCATCNCTTAGAACTCTTGCCCCCCACTTACAGGGCTATAGTAGAGAGCTAGCTAGTTGTTTGTGCCAACTGCATCGCTGGAGGCGTTGTGGCTGGCGCGTGCTGATGGCCTTGAGGGCTGCATCTTTATTAAATTGGAGATAGTTGAATAGAGTCTTCAGGCCAGAGTTTTTTCAGGGGGACGATGCTGTAGTGTGAGGTAGCGTGGGGTTTTTTGGATGTGGGGCTGCAACGGGGTATTAGGGCCTCGGGACGTCTATGCAGCGTCACGGCCAGCCGCAAGGTAGAAGGAAAGGGCGAAGAAGGGTTCGTCCCAAACTTGGGTTCGGATGGGGAGACGTGGTCTCGTCTTGAGATGTCAGATATTTACTGCGCTTTGTACACAAGGAAGGACATCTTCCCAATTGAAAAGTACACAAATCGCCGCTTCTGATGCACAACGTAACTCGCGAAGTTCTTTCCAACTGTCACGT